TATGTCAAACTGTTCGTTGAGAATGTGGATCTTTCCGTGTGGTGAACCTAAGATTGGAAAAAAAGACGAGCATACTGTTTATTCTTTTTTTGTATCATTTTGGATGAGGAGGAAGTGACATAAGTCGTTAATGATTGGTCAGCAGTGAAATTTATTTAATGAGTCCATTTGTTGCATGCTTGGCATATTTTTTTGCTTCAGGATTGCCTGCCGGAATAGTACTGTTTTGGTAGGGTCCCTTGGGCGAACAAATATGATGTTGGAAACTTGTCATGACCCCAAGTCATAATATCACTGATGAGGCAATCCTGAGCACTCATTGGAGTGTTTTCATGACAAAGTGACTATACTCCTCTCACAACAATATATTCATTAGATTTCAGGTATGAATAACACTGAAATGTAATTGTATCAACAAGAAATTAAATACAGGTTCAAACTCATTAAAAACAACTAAATGAGCAGAATCACAAAAACAGTTGCCTTCACTGGAAGATATAATGATATTCCTACAAGATATATTTATTATCTGTCTATATTTCTGAGATGAGGTATTATGTACACTAGTTACATTATTTAGACTATTGTCCTCATCTTTGTCGCCATATTTATTACAACTTTTCGTCCGTTGTATGCTCCGACCTTCTTCAGGTGGTTGGAATGTCGAACTGAACCCTTTATTTTGCTCACTGGGGTAGACTGTTCTAGTTCCATGTGCCATGTTTAATGGATGTCAGTTATCAGTTATCTCCTGTTAATTCCCCTCTCCTCCACTGCCTTAACCAGGTATTGAACACACTGTTTGGGTCCTGTCACTGGATCTAACGCCTTTATCCACTGTGCCATGGCACAGTGGATAAAGGCATTAGTTAGATCCATGGCACAGTGGATAAAGGTATTAGTCAGAAAGGTGTTAATTAGATGCAGTGACAGGACCCAAAGAGTGTAAGTTCAATACCCGGTTAAGCCAGTGGAGAACTTGGAGAGGGGAATTAACAGGAGATAACTGACAACTGACATCCATTAAACATGGCACATGGAACTAGAACAGTCTACCCCAATGAGTGAAATAAAGGGTTCAGTTTGACATTCCAACCACCTGAAGAAGGCCACAGCGCACAACAACCGAAACGTTGTAATAAATATGGCGACAAAGATGAGGACAATAGTCCGAATAATGTAAATAGATATATTTATATATAAAAGATATAGTCTTATATATCAATAATGTAACAAAACTATTGCATCAATAATCCCAAATACTATTATACAATTATATATAATATGATTATAGTTTGTTTTGTTTTACAGCATATCAAACATAGTGAGTTATTTAAAGCCAACAAGATTTTTATTGCTGGTAATATTTTTTTCTTCAAAAATGTACTGCTGGTAATAATTTTTTCTTCAAAAATTTATTTAATACGGTTTTGACTCCCGTTTGGGGGTTAACTATTTACTCATAGCTGTGACCCTAAGAGGTGCTATCACCCTGTGTCACGGTGGACCTGGGAACATCAGCAATTAAGAGGTGGTTCCATACTCCTCAAAACCTGATCAGAGGCTTTGTTGTTGGATGTAGTTTATCGTCTTACCCAAGACTTGGATGTAGTTTATTGTCATACCCAGGACGTTATATAGAATTACTTAGCTATATTCTAAGTCATGTCAAAAACAATAAATTTGTTATAATCAAATGCTTTTTATAATATTGTTGTTAAGCAATTGAGAATTTCATTAACCAACATTTTGAAGCTCAATTGACAGGAGTCAGTTTGGTTCATGTGGTTCAAAATTTAAAAAATTAAATTTAGTGTTGCTTCTTGCTTATGAAGTCCCTTTTCTACAAATCAATTTACTGAACAAATATACACTAAGATGTATGTTGTTTGATGAAAATGTGTTGTTGAAGAATTTATTTAGTTTTGGGAATCTTCAGTATTGTCAAAATTTAAAAAAAATTATTCTCTGGGATTTTTATTTCAGGAAATGACAAGTGCGGGAACTGATCCAAATTTAAAGAAGAAACTTCAAGAGGTGTGTATTTTTGTGTTGTTACCAATTTTGAATCTGTTCACTTTCTTTATTTTTCTAAAATTAAATTGCATGACAATTATGATCAAATGCAGATTGCATTGCAACATTGTAAAATTGAATATTTATTACCAACATTTTAAACAGATTTACATTTGATTTTTTTGCGAAGAAAGCTTTTGCGATAGAATAATATTTTATTTACTTTCATCTTTTTGCTTTCAAAATTGGTCCAGTTGGTTTTCCTTTGGTCTGCACGCTGATGATTAGTGTTTAACAATACCCATGATTTTGTACATTTTTCTTAGCATGAAGCATTGGAATTTATTGGAAATAATGATTTTATAAGTGCAAAAGCAGAGAAGAGAGAATTGGTGTGTAGAGTTTGTGCAACATTGAAAAAGCTAAAACATTTAACTGAGAGCCTTCAGCACCATTATATACAAGGGAGAGCTGTAAAATTCCTAGTTTAACCCCCTCCCTAAATCTGAGCAAATGACTGAACATTAAATTTTGGTGGGGAAAGGATTCTTGGCCCAGAATCCTCTTTTTTATATATATATATATATATATATATATATATATTTTTATACTTATACTATAACTAAAAAAAAAAAACCCAGATGATACAATTTGTAAATAAATCGTGGGTGGATACGTTCTGGCTTTTTAGGTATTCTCACTCTCTCTCTCTCTGTGTATATATATATATATATATATATATATATATAGAGAGAGAGAGAGAGAGAGAAAGAGTAAATTTAGTAAATGTATTTGCATTGATAAGTCAGGGGAAACCTAATTTCCCATGGACGAAATGATCACTTATATGAGATAATTCATTTGGATCTCATTAATTGTAATTCACTTATATGCTCTATAATAAAACTTATATTGAGCTCTCTTTTGTGGATCAGTTTTAATATTTTATATTAATAGGATCTGCTTGGATTACTTACCCACAGATTTTTTTACATAAATATATATACACATACACACACACACACACACACACACACACACATATATATATATATATATATATATATATATATATATATATATATATAAAAAGTTAATCCTTACAACAATTTACAATCTTTGTCAAGAAGAGAAATTATCAGAAATTATGTCCTGTTATATTCATACTAAAAAGTTCCTTTTGGGTTCTTTTGAAGTGGGATAAAAAGTATGTATATATATTTCCAATACACTTGTTTTTTCCCCTCCTCCTTCTCCTTTTCCTCACCTTCTACCTTACGTTGTGCATTTCATTTAATTTTTTTTTAAATATAGCATTTATAAATTTTTATTTTTTAAAATCAATTTCAATGTATGAGTGTCAAGCATCTCAGTTCCTAGAAACTGACAGCCAGACCACCCACACAAATTATTTGATTATAGTGGTGAAGGCTTTGTGCAGAACCAACTGCGTGTTTTGAAGAACCTTAAACAGAGACCTGGTGCAAATAACTGTCTGCAGGTTTTGAATTCAGAGTTGTCCTTCTCCTAGACCAGTTACCATTCAAGGCTATAGAACCCAGTCTGTCCTGCTATTTATCTATAGCTGAAGGGAGAAGAAGAGGATTCATATCTTTCCCAAGGGTATTAGCATGTAATTGAATCTAATGGATTCTACTGCTGGAATTCAAACTCAGCTCTCCGATTCCCCATTTCGAGCTGCTATATATTACACCACCATGTCTCCTATATATGTATATATATACACACACACAAGAGAATATAAATTTATATATATCATAACAATGTGAAGCAATTGAATGACAAAGTGGAAAAATTCTGTATAACAAATTTCGTCATTTAGAAAGACTCTAAACTAATGTTATTATTGATAGAATTATATGTGTTGGAAGGGTAGGGAGAGATATAAATGCGATCATGGGTTATAATTATGTACCAAGGGGAAATGCTGAAGATATGGAAATACTAAATTTTAAATTTTAAAATTTTTGAGTTTAAATCGTTTTTGTTTTATCAGACATGTCTGTACCATTCTATTATGCATCTTGATTCCTTGGGGAACATAGGGCTGCAACAACACCTCTCCAACAGATGCGGTTCCAGGCAATCCTTTTTAGCTCAACCCATGTCATGCTGGCTGCCTTCACCTCTGCATCAACACTTCTGCACCAAGTCTGTTTTGGTCAAACCACTTTTCACTTCTCATTTAGTTTCTCTATACATTCCAATGCAATCTATCACATCAGGAATTGGTAGCACTCCCCACAGATTTGCAAAAACCATAACAAAATTTGAACATCACTCCTTGGAACAATCAGCACCATATATCTTAAAAATTCAGGCAATATGGTCAAAACTAAGGGGAATAATGTGGCCCACTTGGCTGTGCATCTAGACACATTGAACACCAGAAATTTAAAATTCAAAGTTAAGTGTCCTGACATGTTTATTGTTTTTAGATGTATCACTATAACCAGTATTTCTTATAATTTGCTTCCTCACATACATATATGTGATTCCATGAGTAAAAGCATTTATTTTGAAGAAGTATCAAATAAAACTTTTGATTTTGTCATTCAATTGCCAGCAACATTATATATATATATATATATATATATATATATATATATATATATATATATATATATATATATATATAATGGAAATGGATAGGAAAACTTTGAGTAGTGTTATTGACATTGGATATTATGTATATTCACTAATATATATTAGTGAATATTTTCCCTGAAAAACACTTTGTCCAAACGAGCTTAACCACAAATTTAACAATATAGATAGAATTAATATATAACCCCATAAATCTAGCCCTACCCACATTTCTCACACAAGACAGACCCACGCAAGACAGACATGCTTGCAGAGGTGTTGAGGTCTCACACTTATGCCCACACTCATACTAATATATACACATACACACACTCCTAAAGAACTAAAAGATAACATACACTTAACGCACACATCCTATTCCCAGCAACCAATAAAACTGTGAAAATGACCAAAGAGGGAATTCTTAAAGTCAGGAATCTGCCATCCTCTATCTTAAAAACAACTTGAAAGCGGCCATTTGACCAACACAAGGACAGACCAAAATCAATGATAAGAAACAAATGAAAACTACAGATAAATTTCACTTTCTTCAGAAACAGTCATTCACTCCTGTGGTTCACTGCTACTAACAAGCAGGGATTTTTTTCTCCTGATGATGGCCATGCTGGCTGAAACTAGTCGAGGCACCTAATTGAAATAATAAAACAAAAACATTAATATACAACCCTGTGTGTCTGAAAATTTTAATTTTTTAATATTTTTTATTGTTCAAAAATATATATATATATATATATATATATATGTTTTAGAACAATATAAAAAGAATATTAAAAAATATATATATAAAATTTTTTTATTGTGAATATCGCTATTGTTGTTTAATTTCATTATTCTCTTGTGTATTGCTTCCCATATTGTATATGAACACTTGTTCTGCTAATATTATTTTCTGATAAGGTCACATGTGTTTACCATGTTGTGCATTTTCCATTGTGATTCTTTATCTGTTATTTTAGCATCATTCCAGATAAGACAGTGTTCTCCCAATTTCCTTCATATGTGATCTACCATGCTTGATTTCATGTGTTTTATCATTTCTCTGCTCTTCAAATGTAATTTTAAAAAGGGGTTGCTGGTTTAACTCTTATATCCCCAATCACACATGCATGGAATGTTGTTCTGTCATATAGTTTTCCTACTAGAAAAAATAACCTTCAAAGCAAAAATTATTAATATATTAGTCTGCATAACCCATACAATTTTTAAACACAACATTATTTTTTATTTTTTTATTTCTATTATCAATGCAAACCTAAGTTCTCTGACTTTTTAGTCAAGTATTCAAGCAAAAGCCACATATTTCTAGGTAATGAAAATATTTTAAAATCTATTAAAGCCACAACATCGTTTTAATAAGATTATTAACAGAAAAAAATTTACTTTAAGAAAACTGGAGAACTAACCAAAACATTTTAGTGCCAAGAATAACAGAAAAATAAGAATATTATATCTTTGTTCTCTTTTCAAAATTTTAGACCAATGTCATACCGTTCTGGGTATGACAATAAACTACATCTGCATTCTGCGTAAGATGATAAACTACATCCGTCAGCAAGGCCTCTAATCAGGAGGTTTTGAGGAGTGTGGAACCACCTCTTAATTGCTGGTGTTCCCAGGTCTACTCTGACCCAGGGTCGTAGCACCTATTAGGGTCCCAGCTATGGGCAAATAATTAACCTTTAAACTGGGGTGAAAAAACCATGAAAGTGTAAAAATAGGTTTTAGTACCAGCAATACATTTTTGTAAAAAATTATTACCAGCAATACATTTTTGAACAAAAATATTACCAACAATAGAAATCTTGTTGGTATTAAATGCCCCATTGAGGTTGATATGCCGTAAAAACAAAAGAAACCAAACCAAACCAAACCAATGTTATATTTGTTTATATTTGCTGTCCATTGGCTGTGATAGGCTTTAGTAAGTTTACTTCTATCCTTCCACCATACTGTATACTTATTTGAGTACAGTATACATAATGTATACCTTTGTCCTGGGTATGACAATAAACTATACCTGGCAGCATGACCTCTGATTGGGAGATTGGAGATTTAGTTGCTGTTGTTCCCAGGTCCACCCTGACCTGGGATGGTAGCACCTGTTAGGGTCTCAGCTATGGGTAAATATTGAGTCTCCATATTAAAAGCAAAATACTATGAAAATATAAAAATACATTTTTATAGTAAAATGACCAGCAATATTTACTTATAGCAAAATAACCAACAATACATTTAGTCTGTATTTGAAGTCATGCAATTGTGTTCAAAATATTTAGATTTTGACTTTAAATAACCCATAGAGGTGTTGATATGTCGCTAAATGAAATTAGCCAAACAACCAACATGAAAGATCTCTTTCATGATATTAATCCATATAATATCCTACAATTTTTTTAAAGAAATCAAACTGTATTCCAAAATATAACTTCAACAGGCACAACATAAAATCAACATATCACCGCCTCTCGTAATTATGTCTACACAAACATGTATATGCACAAAAGCTGAGTATCATCTACCATGGATTCAATTGTGAAAGCAGAATAACATATATTTTTATTACTTCAAAGTGCCCAAGAAAATTAAATTTCAGCATTAAAGGACTCATAAGGAGTTGATATGCTGTTAAACAAACAAATGTTGCATACTTATTTTTCAGTGTTTCTTTTTTAATTTGGTTTATCATTTCAGGGTGTGAAGCAGTGTCAGCTGAAGATTGTGAATCTCAACAATATATTTGAAATTGAAACAAACAAAAATTATTCTCATCCTTTAGTAACCAAAATAACTTATATTAATGCGGGACATATTCAACAGTTACGACGACAAGTTACAAGTGCACTGGCAAAAGTCTGACAAAACATGATTCAGATTGGAGAACTAGGTATAAAAATCATCTTTATGCAATTTTAATTCTGTTCATTAAACGAATTCTACTGCTGTGCAGTTATCATATCTATTATAAGAATGCCGTCATTTTGATCAGCTCATGAAACAGATTTGAAAATTTCCTTGATTAAAGTTTATTTTATGACTTACTGCTTATTCATTTTTGTTTCATTTTACAATTTATTGGTTCTGACCATAAGCAAATGAATTGTACATATTCAGGGGAAAAGTTGTTATTCAAGGCAACTTAAGAGATTTTCAGGGCAAATTTTTTCTACTCTAAGTAAAATTTCCTCCTGTTTGCCTTTGGCTCTGAATATGCTTTATGTAAAGAATTTTGTACAAAGCAAAACAATATTCATCTGGTTGCTGACCATATTATCAAATATCAATTTCATTAAGAACTTTTTACAAAGGGTAAAAACTAACACATGACATGGTAAACTCACAAACATAAATAACATTTCTAATATAAATGGTAGAATGTTAGGATAAATTCTATTGAAAGCTGTAAGAAATTTAATTGTACTAATGTTCCAGAGAAGTGATTCTAAAATAAACCATTTTGGTTACTGTATTATGTATTAGTGTTTCATTTGCACCTTTTGTTTGTGCATAACTGTTAATAAAAATGAAAGATAAGTGGTGTGTCCCTAAACTATTTGGTTATAAATGATCCTACTAGTGTCTGATTCTAATTAATATAGTTTGCTACCATTTTAAATTTAGAATTTCATACTGAGATACAATAGCAAATAAGCTCATTTCTAAGACTCAAGGGACCAGTATTTGCATCTATCAATTGTTTTCATTTTTTCTTTTTCTATTTCAAAAATCATTTTCTGTCAACAAATCTATTTAAACCTTGTTTGTCTCATACAAAATTCAAATATTAATGAAACTATAAAAAACTTAACATTGTGTGATCTCTTGGGTTATTCCTAGACATACGTGTAATGAGCATGCACGGAAGCATCCTCGAACTGCGTGTGTGTGTTGTCACCGGGCACACCTTGGAGTACCATAATGGACTCTACCGAGGACTACAAGAAGAAGATGCACGAGTCGTTTGGTGTCTTTTCTTGGGTGACAAAAGCCGTTGCAGTCGGTTGTCCGTCGGCAGCATTCTTGGGTGCCGTTTTGCTCGTTTGCTGTTGTAAAGTGTTCGTTCGGAAGAGAAGGCGTTTGTTTCAGGTTTGCAAGAAGGCGTTCGTTTCGGGTTCGCAAGAAGGTGTTCTTTTTGGCAGAACTGTGCAGACTTGCGGTTTTGTTTGGTGGCGTATCAGAAAAGTGTTTGCAGTGTGCATTTGTTGCTGGATTGCCTGAGCATGCAGAGGAGCTTTTAAGAGTGTCATCTTGGATGGAAGACCTGGATTTGTCACATGTGCTGGCACGAGCTCGCGCTATTTTGAAGAAGGGCACTGGTTCTACGGAGCAGGCCGCAGTGGCTGCACAGTTGAAGGAAACAGATGTGCACACGAGGTGCTATAAATGTGATGGACCCAATCATAGGGCGAGCGATTGTCTCCTGGGTCGTGAATCATCTAAATGTGCTGGTACCAAGCACTGATGGACCATCACTTGCTATCGATGTCATCAGCAAGGGCACATTGCTCAGTGTTGTCCGGGAAACGGGCAAGGGGGCGAGAATTCAGCGCCAATCTCCTCCCCAAAACCCTTGTAAATGGTGCATTGCTTTTGGTGACAGTTCATATCAATGGAATACCACATATAGCTTTGGTGGATACAGGATGCACACAGTCACTAGTCTGCAAGTCATGCTGTCGAGCATGGACAAGAAAATCAACATGCGTGGTTACAGTAGACGGAGATGCACTTGACTGCTGTGGAATTGGAGTGGTACAAGTTAGTGTTGGTGCAAATCCGTCCATTGCTATGGAAGCCCTAGTTGTGGACAGAGACCTGCTTGGATGTGACTTGCTGCTCGGACTAGACGCCATCAAACAGTTGGGAGGAATATCTGTAACTGGCGCTGGTGAGGTGAAGTTTCCGCAGTGTGTCGAAGCAGTCGTTGCTGCTATCACCATTATCGAGCCCGACAGTAGAATTCGATGAGACCACTCGGAGGTGGACCGCATCTTGGAAATGGGCTGGCAACCAACCTCCAGGTACGTTAAGAAATAGACTGGCAGAATATCCAGCTCTCGCACAAATTCGGGAGGAGTATGATTGGGAACTCCAGATTTGGATAGATAACGGCTGGCTGCTTCCTTACCCGGAGGAGGAACTCGGACCCCCAAAGGGTTTAATCCCCCTCATGGCTATTCTGCAGGAAAACAAACAGAAGGTTTGGCCCGTTATGGACTATTGGGAACTCAATGAGTATGTTGACGCATACGCGGCCATACCCACCGAATTGTCTTCTTGCTGTGCGAGAAGTTGACTGGTCATTTTCCGGTATGCGGTTGGTTACGTGTCACCACGGCATTTGTGAAGTGGAGGGCAAACAATGTTACCACTGGATGGGATGATGAAGTGCAGGACCCTTTTCTAGCCCAGATGATTGACGACATTTTTAAGAGACTAGCCCAGGATGATTCAGTGAAAGGTGACTGGTGCATCCGTGAGCAAAATGTAACCATGTGGGTAGATGCAAGCTCCTTAGCCACCGGTGTGGTTGTGGAGAGCAATGGCGCCGTGGCAGAAGACGCAAGCTGGCTTCGACCGGTGCACGAAGACAAGCACATCAACTTGGCTGAGCTCGATGCTGTGTTGCGAGGTGTCAACCTTGCATTACAATGGATGGCTAAAACCATTCATTTACGGACAGACTCAGCATGTGTGCATCGCTGGGTAGCTGACACTCTGTCCGGACGGACTAGAGTGTGCACCAAGGCAGCCTCTGAGATGCTAATCAGACATCGGTTTGCCACACTCCAAGAGTTGGCCTTAGAATACAAGCTGGACATTGATGTAGAGCTTGTCAAGTTGTGCAACAATTTGAGCTGACCAACTTACTAGAGTACCGCAGCGATGGTTAAATGAAATGCGCAAAATAACAGAACCCAGAGATCCTATGTGCGCTGTGGCTGAAGAGCGAGATGTTGCTCAAATACGAACCATTCATCAATCCAGCAGACATACTGGTGTGAAGAGAACACTCTATTTTGTGAAGTTGATCGACCCAAGAGTAACAAAAGCTGAGGTGCGAGTGGTGGTTAGGAGATGCAAAGAATGCCAGTCAATCGACCTGGCCCCTGTGCGTTGGAAACCGGGCAGGCTTGATGTCATGGAAAATTGGCATAGGGTTGCGATGGATGTAACCCATTTACAGACATCAACTATACCTGACGCTGATAGACTGCGGCCCCAGTCGTTTTGTCATTTGGAAGCCCTTGCACCGCGAAGACTCTGCTAGCATCATCAAGCAGTTGGAAGTAGTGTTTTGTGAAATAGGGTCGCCGATTGAGCTGCTTATGGATAATGGTGCAGCATTTTGTGGAGAGAGGTTTGCCGCGTTTGCAAAGATGTGGAATGTACAAATACGATTTCGCTGTGCCCACGTACCATCAGGGAATGGGATAGTTGAGAGATTCCATCGTACAATAAAGCGCATCGCGACGAGAACATGGTGTTCAGTTTTGGAAGCTGTATATTGGCACAACATTACCCCAAAGGACAATAAAACAGTTTCAACTACACCGGCGAATGCAACCTACACTTACAGGGTCCGCATTAAGGGTATCGACGCAGCTTTGGTGCGTAATGACACACTTGCCAATCCTTATATGGTAGGAGAGACTGTCTGGGTGAAAAATCCGCATGGAAAGTGTACGACACAGTTCAACAAGGGTACGGTGACAAAAATTAATAGCCTACAATCCATCTCTGTTGATGGAATACTGCACCACATAAAAGATGTGCGTCCAGCGTGCAGGAAGGATTATTCCATCAGCAACCACGTTAGTTCTTCTTCTTCTGATGATGAAGCCCCGATGGTATATATAAAATTACAGGAAGAGCACACCTCAGAGAGTAGCGCGCCTGATGAGCTCAGTGAGACATCTGAAGAGAGCACCACTGAGGAAGCGCTTGAGACCATACCACTGAGACGGAGCACCAGGCAGAAACGGCCTGCCCCACATTTCCATTTGTGTGATCTCGAGATCAGGGAGGTGTGTAACGAGCATGCACGGAAGTGTCTTCGAACTGCGTGTGTGTTGTCTCCGGGCACACCTTGGAGTACCATAATGGACTCGACTGAGGACTACAAGAAGAAGACGCATGAGTCGTTTGGTGTCTTGGGCGACAAAAGCCGTTGCGGTCGGTCGTCTGTCGGCAGCAGTCTTGGGTGCTGTTTTGCTTATTTGCTATTGTAAAGTGTTCGTTCGGAAGAGAAGGTGTTCGTTTCAGGTTCACAAGTAGGTTTCAGGGTTGTTTTTGTGTCGCAAGAAGTTGTTTTTTTTTTCCCGTCTTCTCGCACAATACTTTCAACCAATACAAGCTTGGCCAGATAAATATTGTTTTGCTTTGTCCAAAAATCTTTATATAAAGCATATTCAGAGCCAAAAGCAAACAGGAGGAAATTTTACTTGGTGTAGAAGAAATTTACTCTGAAAATCTCTTAAGTTGCCTTGAATAACAACTTTTCCCCTGAATATGTACAATTTTCTCTAAAGAAAAGTCATATCCCTGTACTCAAGAAGCTTGACAGATGGTGGGACAGTGTTGTTTCTTTGTTTTTTTTTTTAATCATTTCACCTTAGCAAGGAAATAAACCTCTTAAAATGCAATTGGTTACAGAGTGTGAAAAAATATGAGAAAAGGGAAAACATTATTAAGAAGAGATAACAATAAAACAACAGGAGTAAAGAAGGCAGAAGATAACGATTGACTTGTATTTAAATTTTTGAAGATCAAAGTTGACTAGAAAGCCAGAATCTGAAAGAGACTCCCACAAGTAAGAAGTACAAGAGAAGAAATTGTTAGCATAGAATTTATGCTTA